ATCAAAATAGTTTTAACTGTAAACAGTGCTTGCGGAAGTTGATCGTAGAACTGATGTTGAGTATGAAAGTAACAGGAATAAAAGTACAATGATGTTACCTACTAGGACGGTGGGAAACATCATGGATTTATTTATACAAGACAATGTGAAACATGCCAATGGGTCTTAACTAAACAAATCATTTTTTGACTGATAGCGTAAATGATACAGCCACATTTTGATTAGACATTTTGATTTATTTATAACCTTCTGCTATCTGTTTAACGAAAATAAAATAAAAAATGATAACAAAAACAAAATATAAACACTATTATGTCTAGTGAGATAATTTATTGTGACAGTTAATTCCGTCAATTGGTTCATACAAACAACAGTTTGGTCAAAATTCAAAACTTATGTAAAAAAATAATTCATTCATTCATTCATTTTTTGGTAAAACTGATATAGTCACAAATGGCTTTTTCTATGGATAACTGGACAAATGTCATGTTAAGAAATACTGTTCAAGCGACGTATATAAGGAAAATTCAAAGCGCTTTCGTAGTTTATTGTAGTCATATTGTAAACTTGTGAGAAGGTCAAAAATAGTCTAGAATAGCGTATGCTTATTCTAGTGATAATAAACGCTACACTGTCTGAAATTAGCATAATAGTATCAGTTTTTCGCCTCAAATCAGTAGAATATCATTTGACAAACGATTTTATGAAAGTATTTATTTTATTTGTTTTAGATAGTTTCAACAAATATCATATCGTTCCTATTTATTCTTTCTGAAAAACTAGATCGTACTGACAACACATTTTTCCACTTGGACTTCAAAAGTTCATACCAAAACATTTCCCACAACGTACCATTTATTATCACTGAAACAACCATACGTTATTATAGACTGTTTTGTCCTTTTCACACAAGTTTACAATGTGCACTGTAAACCTTGAAAGCGTTCTAAATTTCCCTTACACCTATCGCTAGAACAACTGCTTCTTAACACGAGAGAAAACCATTTGAGACTACATTATCAAAAATCAGTATTTTCGCTATCGATCTTTAAAGATAGATTGAGGAGTTTGAGAAACAGGTCAATTTAACAACGGTTGAAGATCCGTAGAATTAAGGTCAAAAAAAAACGACTGCTATTGTGTTCAACGTAGAAAGACAGTCGACTGATAGATATAAACTTGTGGTTCTACTATTAGATGGAAATGATCATCTTTTCATAAATGAAAAAACTGCAGCATCCTTTTTGAAAGCAGAAGTCTGAGAAAAGTTTTGGGAAACAAGTGGCAATATAGTAGTTTTTTTCATATGGAACATACGTAACCGACTGGAACTACTGCAAACTTGAATTTCGCTTGGCGCTATCCTCGAACTATCGGCTCACGTAAAATAATTACTATAATGTCATTAAATTCTGGAGTATAATATCGGTTTTGTCAAGGATCTCGTAAAATCCTGCTTTCGAAGAGCATGTCATATTTTTTTGCCTATAAAAAGACGTACCTCATTTGTATTAATTAGTAGAACCGCAAATTCATGTCTATCAATCGACTGTCTCCTACTTTAAACGTGATTGTAGAAACTGGAAAATACTTAGATACAGACTCGAATTAAAAGTAAACGATACAACCTCTACTCAAAGTAATAAACAACGCTAGCCATTGTTAATACACCTCCTGTAATACCAATAAATTGGAACAGTGTTTCACTAAAATTTAAACTCAAAAAAATATTAAAAAGTAATGAAGTATTGCGTATCTTACAGTAAAGATGTCTCTTCTAATAAATCTGGAACAGTTTTGACTAATGCAACAAATAAAAATCCACCAGCCGTAAATGGAAGAACGTACGCTGTTGGAGTACCTACAATCAAAAATATCTTCTCACTGTTACATCCAATAACTTATAGATAAACAAGAAAAAATTTCTTACGTGCATCCAAGATTGAACTAAAATACAAAGCGGATAGAGCACCTAATATTCCAACCGCTGCCGTCAAAACCTAATCAAAATTAATTTTCATCAATAAATTTCTCATTCCGATACGATAAACCAATTACCTGCGCTTTAGCAGCGTCCCACCTTGTGAAGCCAGCTTTTAACAGGATAGCAAAGTCACCTAATTCGTGAGGAATCTCATGAATAACGATACTAACTAGTGTGGTCCAACCAACCTACAAAGCACTATCAATAATACTAAGGTTATGTCATTCACATATCACCTACTTTGTTACTAACAGCGAAGCTTCCTCCAATAGCTAAACCATGTGTGAAATTATCTATTACATTCGCTAATAGATTTAGCCAGCCAGTTGTCTAGAAGCCGATGGGTACAAATTATAAGAGAATAAGAATTAACAGTGAAAGTAACAAACTTTGATATTTCTTTTTG